CCGAGTTATCGTATGCCACCGTGTGGGAGAGCCCACTGCATCTATTATAAGGTACTGCACGGGGCAGACTTCTTTTCAAATCTGCAGCACTTGCAGCTGACGCCAGAGCACTACAAGGGGAGACACGTAACTTGGCACGAGAGCAGTGATTCATTTTATTGCCCTGTACTTCTGCATGGTGATTTCTTTGAATCCAGAGGAGCACCCCCCCCCCCCACACACACACACGCCTCCCAAAGCCGCAAAGGCTCCGCTTATTCAAACCTCTCCCGGCGGCATTCGCTCTTCTACCGTCCTTTCCCTGTCTTCGATCGTATTCCCCTTCAGCTCCGCACAACACGCCCCTCTGCGGGTTATCATGAACCCTATGAGCAGGATTCTATTAAAAAAATATTTTAATTATAGCTCCGGAGTCTCAGTGAATCCCGTTGCATGTTGCACGGATTTGAACCTTTTATCAGTAATCGGTGACGTGACATGCGGCCGGTGTGACGATGTGTACGTGTGTGTGTGTGCACGTGTGTGTGTGTGGTGTGCGCGTGCGCGTGTGTGTGTGCATGTGTGTATGTATGTATATATGTGTGTGTGTGTGTGTGTGTGCGTGTGTGTGGGTGTGTGTGTGTGTGGCGTGTGTGTGTGGTGTGTGTGTGTGTGTGTGTGTGTATGTGTGACGGTGTGTGTGTGTGTGTGTGTGTGTGACGGTGTGTGTGTGTGTGTGTGTGTGTGTGTGTGTGGCGTGTGTGTGTGTGTGTGTGTGTGTGTGTGTGTGTGTGTGTGTGTGTGTGTGGTATGGTGTGTGTGTGTGTGTGTGTGTGTGTGAGCACATGTCCTTGCATTCACGCGTGGGTATGGTAACGGTACGGTTAACGGTATGAAAACACGCAAATGTGATATGGATCACGCGGCACTGGCAACTGAACCGAGAACCATAATGGGGAAGTGCATCGATTTTTCGAGTATGGTCCAGAAGAAAGACAATTCGATATCGGTTCGAATGGCATATCTCTCGCTTTCATACGATAAGCCAAACTTGCCAAATCGCCAATTGTATACTCACGTTGCCATAGCGACCAGAGCAGTGATGACGTATGAAAGGCTTAGCTCCTCCACAGAGAAGGTCGATCACTGCATAAATTGGTCATTTTCAATTGGTTTATTGTATTCACGAAGTGAAAGAAGGGCTGTGTTCAATGCTGTTAGTGCAGTGAACTGTTTGTTAGTAGTCCTCTCGGTTGTGTACTGGGACGTGACACCGACAGGAGAAAGCTGGAATGCGGAGACACCAGCAGACAAGCGAAAATAGTGACGAACAAAATGCTGAAATCTTGGTTGGGACAAATCAGACGTTCAGCATTTCCCCCAACCAAGGACCATGCCGTTTGCTCTTTCCACTTCCTGAAGATGAATGAGATGCTTCCTGGCGACTCTCCTATCTCTCGTAACATCTTCTGAAGCCAGGTGAGCCGACGGGTGGTGGAGATTGACGAATGAAATAATGTCGTAGGTTTGAAAGTTTGCTGAAAATGTCTCAGGAGAGATGGCGAATTCCGAGCATCTTGTCCTGGAGGAAACCATTTCCTAGGCACAGTCAGCCTAGGGAAATGCATGAGAAGGGCGATAAATAGTTCACGGCACTAACAGCATTGAACACAGCACTTCTTTCACTTCGTGAATACAATAAGACAATTGAAAAATGACCAATTTATGCAGTGATCGACCTTCTCTGTGGAGGAGCTAAGCCTTTCATACGTCATCACTGCTCTGGTCGCTATGGCAACGTGAGCATACAATTGGCGATTTGGCAAGTTTGGCTTATCGTATGGAAGCGAGAGATATGCCATTCGAACCGATATCAGATTGTCTTTCTTCTGGACCCTACTCGAAAAATCGATGCACTTCCCCTTTATAGTCCTGGAGCCAGGTCCAGAAATCTGACAGTGTCATTTGACACCTCGTCCAGGAAAGATTTGACTTCAAATTCGGAGAGGCGGACCAACTATAGGAATTTTGGAGAAAACTAGAAGTTCCCAATGTTGTCCGTTTGGAAGTTATGAGCTATTTCCAAATTGCTTAGGTTACTATGGTAACTTGTGTGCAATTAGCCGTTCCTGAGGCAAAGCCGGTACAATTTTGGAGAAAAAAGTTACCTTGTTGGAAGGCGAGCTCTTTCCAAGACTATTATTGAAAACCAGAAGTTTATAGGACTGTCGGCTTCCTTGTCACAGGAATTTCTCGAATTTCTACGGTTACCGTGGTAACGTGTATGCAATTAGCCACTTCTAAGCCAAAATCAGTGCATTTTCTCCCCTGTAGGCAGGTGGAAAGCAGAGAATAGTTATAATATTGTGGCTCAGAGGTCTATTGGGCTTGTTCATGCCTGGTTTGTAGAGACTGGGCTCCTCTCCCCTCTAACACTACCGGGATTGCATTGACCTGGCACTTGTTTCCTCACTTCCTTCACATAATACAATGTACATGTACATCATACAGCGGTGTGCTATGTTGACAGGATTGGTCACCATGATCCACTACTAGTACTTTCCACCCAATTCACATTTTCTTTTTGTGGAACAATGTCATCATGGTCATGCAGGCTGTCCAATCGACATGTACATGTACATGAGTTTAGGAAGCACATTGCCCATGAAATACAGTCATGTACATGTACATGTAGACCGGGGCGGGGGCCTACGCCAAGACCTGGAAGGACAATTTTGATCAACGAGATGGCTAATAGACAAACAACTGCCCTAACCGCAACATGCAACAAACTCCGCCACATATTCCGTGCTCATGTGTCATCCTTCAGCAACTCACAGCAAGCATTTACACAGGAAGGTCTGGTCACATCCCTCTGATCAAGCAACAGTTTCAAAACAGTCCAGGACTGACCCCATGGCCCATGGGGCAGTGACCTCTCCTGCTATCTAGCCGAGCCACTATGAATTCTACACCTAGTACCAAGAGTGTATAACCGGGGGATTATAACTCTTGCTAGTACCTGTACCGGTACATGTGGCATCATTTCCAGCACTCACAGATACATGTATATGTACGTGTGCAGCAGTTGTTCACCATCCAACTCGGCTACAAGTGATGCAAATACAGTACAGTACCTGATGCCACAGATTATTCTATGTACATCGAACACCCTGGATGGTTTCACCTGTATACAATCATGTAAATGTGGAGACAGTTATGGCCATAATAATACTGACTACTCTCAACTCCTACAAGCCATATCTCTTGCCAATTGTCAACGTACTGGAGAAAATTGTTGATCGGCAGGTTGTGGAGTTCTTAGTGACAATAGTGAGGTTTCTGCCCTGCCATGGAGCAGTTTGCATACTCCGATCTCTCTCGTCTTCCAAGTCCTGGCATCTCCGTGTGATATGAGAAGGGAATTTGGTGTGTTTGGTTGAACGACTATACATGTGCATGAAGTATATGTATACATGTAATTTAAATGGCACACCAGTAACAACAACAATAACAATAATGAATACCACAACAGTGTCCTGGACATGCACTTCAGTTCAGTACATTGTACAATGTACATGTACACCTTACAGTACTGGCCTCTTTTACGGGCAAGATGATTCTTTGGATGTGAAAAAAATACGTGTAGTCATGTACATGTACATGACAAAACATACAATGTAGTTTGGTTGCCAGCATGTTACAAGCTACGTGTAGGCGGAGGATGCACTGAGACTGTGTTCGAAAACAGTGCTCCTTATGACCTTACTACAACCTCCACGGTTGGCATAGCCCTGGTCTTGCGACCATTTGAACTATAATGGGGGTTAGCCCCAGTTCTAATATATGCTAGGGAATTGTTTGAGTCTTCTTGTTTTTGTTTTTGCTATCAGTTGTGTTTCCTTGCTCGTTCTTGGATGTCAGTCCTGCCTAAATCCTCTTGATCCTTTTGTGTGGATCCCGGCACTAAATCCGGAGAGAGGGGTCCAGTCTCTACAAACCAGGCTTGCAACAGCCCAATCGACCTCTAAGCCACATTATTCTAACTATTCTCTGCTTTCCACCTGCCTACAGGGGAGGAAATGCACTGATTTTGGCTTAGAAGTGGCTAATTGCATACACGTTACCGCGGTGACCGTAGAAATTCGAGAAATTCCTGTGACAAGGAAGCCGACAGTCCTATAAACTTCTGGTTTTCAATGACAGTCTTGGAAAGAGCTCGCCTTCCAACAAGGTAACTTTTTTCTCCAAAATTTTATCGGCTTTGCCTCAGAAACGGCTAATTGCACACAGGTTACCATAGTAACCTAAGCAATTTGGAAATAGCTCATAACTTCCAAACGGACAACATTGGGAACTTCTAGTTTTCTCCAAAATTCCTATAGTTGGTCCGCCTCTCCGAATTTGAAGTCAAATCTTTCCTGGACGAGGTGTCAAATGCAACTCCTCAATAAAGCGACTTTTTCGGACTTGGCCCCAGCACTATTAATATGAACCTGTGGAACAGTATGATAGGAAACCGCTCTGGGGACGAGTCTACCAAGAACACAGTTTCCTACACTACAGTGAGATATACATGTACAATCATGGCATTACCATGATTACACTGTATAGCCGAAATGACTGCGCCGATTTGCTCGCTAGATGTACCGGTACAAGGCAATACTGGGGGGGGGGGGGGGTCGGATCAGTGGAACCGCAGCGACATGGAGTGTATCTTTGCCCATTATGAACAGCTAGTAGCAGAGGTCAACAATACTATCATGATGATTGTAGGTATCGCAGTATTCACCTGTGCACTGTACTGCTTCCATGGCTTTCAGGATCGAGCACCTGTCGTGCGCGACAGTGGTGTCCGGTCAAATGTCTGTAATTATTTTCAAAAATGCAAAACAAAAATGAATCAAAATAATTTGACAGAAAGTGTCGATTTGAAATAATTATAGTGTTGACTCTATGCATGGTCAGGGCATTCTTTCCAGTGAATTGTGCTGCTTGTCATTCTTCTTTGGCACACCATTCTCTATTGATTCATCAACCGATCGCCTTTCAACGTGTAGAAGAACTGATGGTCCGTGACTGCTTTCCAGGATCGTAAGGCGAAGTGCGTCAGGGAAGCTTTTGAGTGTTTTCTTGGGATATCTGCCATTGCCAGGAGTACTTTGGTTGCCGTCTGGTCTCGTGTGTTATAATACTCCCGAACAATTCTAAGAGGACTTAACGACGTAGCCTGATCTTAGTGGAGACCCGTGAGGGCACCTGTCCTTCCTGAAAAAAATTGATTTGAGTATTTGAATACTAGTAGGCCACCACCAGCTTGCATTGTGGATACTGGCTGCGCGCGAACACCGTGTATAACAGTGTTATTTCTTTTGCAATGGATGTACAATGCAGTGATGTTTGTGCCAGCACACTTCATGACCGGCCAGACCTGCTGATGGCGGCATGCGAGCTGTTGAACAGTGAGTGGGCACGTGGACTGTCTGCTCGTCAGCACAGTATAAAGCGATCGTCGGACGAACTGCCGTGCAGCTTGCTGCTTCTGGCCGGTGCGGACGGAGGAGAGAAGGTGGTCGGGTTTGCACGACTGTCGCGTGTGCTGGGAGCTGGCGACGGCATGCTTGTCGAGTCCGTCGTGGTCGACAAGACGCTCCGGGGCCGCGGCCTGGGCCGTGCCGTGATGGAGGCGGCAGAACGCTTTGCCGCGACGCACGGTTTCACAACCGTGTACCTATCGACGCACGACAAAGAGGCGTTCTATGCTCACCTGGGCTATCGACAGTGCGGTCCTGTGGCTCTTCAGCCGATGTCAACACAGAATATGTCGGAGTCGCAGATGGGATCTCTTACAGCTCTGTTCGGTATTGCAACACAGCAGCCGAAACCATCAGAGCAAGTTGCTCCCTCGACTCGCACTAGTGCCAGTCGAGAGGCAGGCGATTCAGCGATTTTGCCATCGTGTGGTACCAGCGGCTGTGCAGCTGATGATGCGGAGTCGGTACCGGCACCTCCACCATCTGGACCTCCGCCGCCACCACCACCGCCACCACCTCCAACGGCCACATCCGCCAAAGAGCCAGAACTGCCAATTGTCTGGATGAAGAAGCAGCTGCCAGTATCCTGAAACGCTGGCTACCATTGTGTCGAGGTCAATGTAAGCAATACATCACATTCATCAATGATGCTGATACAGGCCGAACCCCGTGAGCGCTCCGAAGCACATCTTCACCAAAGTCACAGTGGCACAGGAACAACTCTCCACAATCCACTTGCTGCATGCATAAGCCACATGTCTGTGTGACTCAGCAGTCGAACAGCGGTGCAGGAACTCGGCGATCAATTGTGCATCTGCATTTCGTAAGGTGATTTGCGCAATGGAAGCACGTTTCTAGGTCCTGGTTACGCCAAGACAGAGTCGCATAGCCGTGCGCCTGCCGAGACAGGCCCATCAGTGAAGACTGAGAAGCAGCGAGAGAATATTTCCGTGGTGCGTGTATGTGCTGATCTCTGTCTGCCGGTGTGCTGGCTGCATCCGCGGTGGACTGGACAGAGCCGCAGCCGCGGTGGACTGGACAGAGCCACCATGCTTGGTTTGATACTAGCCTAGCTTTGGCGGAGCACAACGTGCCGGGCTGTGCTGCAAATGTCTGATTCGGCTTGCGACTGCTGAAATGACGCCTCATGCTTTGGCGCACTGTTTAGAATCAGCTCATTACAAGTAACGTTGAATGCCGCTTGGTACAGCTTAGCTGGTGAGTGCTGCTTAGCTGGTGAGTGCTGCTTAGCTGGCGAGTGCTGCTTAGCTGGTGAGTGCTGCTTAGCTGGCGAGTGCTGCTTAGCTGGTGAGTGCTGCTTAGCTGGCGAGTGCTGCTTAGCTGGTGAGTGCTGCTTAGCTGGTGAGTGCTGCTTAGCTGGTGAGTGCTGCTTAGCTGGCGAGTGCTGCTTAGCTGGCGAGTGCTGCTTAGCTGGTGAGTGCTGCTTAGCTGGCGAGTGCTGCTTAGCTGGTGAGTGCTGCTTAGCTGGCGAGTGCTGCTTAGCTGGCGAGTGCTGCTTAGCTGGCGAGTGCTGCTTAGCTGGTGAGTGCTGCTTAGCTGGCGAGTGCTGCTTAGCTGGCGAGTGCTGCTTAGCTGGCGAGTGCTGCTTAGCTGGCGAGTGCTGCTTAGCTGGTGAGTGCTGCTTAGCTGGCGAGTGCTGCTTAGCTGGTGAGTGCTGCTTAGCTGGTGAGTGCTGCTTAGCTGGTGAGTGCTGCTTAGCTGGTGAGTGCTGCTTAGCTGGCGAGTGCTGCTTAGCTGGTGAGTGCTGCTTAGCTGGCGAGTGCTGCTTAGCTGGTAAGTGCTGCTTAGCTGGCGAGTGCTGCTTAGCTGGCGAGTGCTGCTTAGCTGGTGAGTGCTGCTTAGCTGGTGAGTGCTGCTTAGCTGGTGAGTGCTGCTTAGCTGGCGAGTGCTGCTTACGTGGTGAGTGCTGCTTACGTGGTGGTGGTGTGCCCCCTGTTTTCTTCAGCAGACTGTACTCTGCTGACATTCTGTGTCGGTGCACGGCATGGGAAATGGGAAATCCAGCTGGGCATGCACCAGCGTCGAGTTCTCGGAGGCAGGTTGTAGAATATGTCGTGTGCCCTGTGCATGGAGTTGCTGGGCTATTATGGACGAATGCGGCTGACTGCAGCGTCACCTTCTTCCTTTGCAGATCAACCGTGAGCTTGTTCCGAGCACTGTCGATGCTGTGAGCAGAACTGTCAGACCTGAAGCTCAGTGATTTTTACATTACATGTACATACCTTAGTTCGTTTTTTCTATCCTTAGCTCAATTTTTTCCCTGTTGCTGTTTATTTCACTGCATGGGATACTATGCTGGTGTGCGCTCTCAGAGTGCCTACTGATGCAGTATCTATGTCCGTGGCCACGCGTGCTGTTTCCTGCTCCGCCACGCGCCAGTGTCTCCGTGTGCAGACTGGAAAACTGTTGGTCGTGTCCTGGATCGAATGAGGGAGATTACACTCCTCTTTTAAAACTCAGCTTGACCAACCCAACTGTGCGTTTTGCGAAGAGTAGAGAGGTGGGACATGAAGTCTAACCATAGTCTTCGGCCCATTCATACTTATGTACGAGAGAGAGAGAGAGAGAGAGAGAGAGAGAGAGAGAGAGAGAGAGAGAGAGAGAGAGAGAGAGAGAGAGAGCGAGAGAGAGAGAGAGAGAGAGAGAGAGAGAGAGAGAGAGAGAGAGAGGGAGGGAGGGAGGGAGGGAGAGAGAGAGAGGGAGAGGGGGAGGGAGAGAGAGAGAGAGAGAGCTGCATGTGGTGTCTTCATATTTTCGTAATCATTCTTCTTCGTGATTTTGCCCTACTTGCATTCGCAGGGGCTCGGAGCGGACGGAATCGCGACACATACATGTACACTTAGCTGCAGTCGACCTTTATAACCCGGTAAATGAAAAGAATAGACGTGGTTAGCATTTCACCGGTCACGCTAAATTCAACGGTACTCGCACCCAACACCCAAAATACGGTTTGGTATTGTTTCGACGATAGACAGCTCTGTTTAGCGGGAGAACGGAACGGTAAGATTCCAACTCAGGTTACGTCACAAGTCGATCGTTGTGTGAAAAACTGAAATGCTAACCATGTCCTGAAAAGACACAAAAAACGTTAGAGGCCGACGGTCGAAGTTAGCATGAACGGTAAAATGCTAACCATGTCTAGTCTAATAATTTGATTTTCATCTCCGTTTCTAAGAGAGCTTATCACGACGGCTAACACTCGGAATATCTCTACATGTATTTCCAACAGTGCATCGTCGCATTCGCCCATCAGTTCTTACTTCAGTAGAATACTCTAATGAGATAGTTTCAAGTTACAGAACCTTTTAACAACGTGCTTACTTCCAGTCTCATCCAATGATTAAATATTATAGGGGTGAAACAATTATACCGAATACTCGAGTACTCGCTCTGTTTTTTTCTTCAGAAATAATCGTACTCGGAATAAATCAGAGTACTCGTTCATACATGGTACGTGCATTTACCACAGAAATCTGCAGTTTCAGAGCAGCAGTTGGCGGATACTGATGTACAGACTGTGTGGTGAACATTTGTTCACGAGTAAAGAGAGCCCAAATGACCCACCAACCAATATACCCGAGAAAATGACTACCACTCGGTTCAATCAGGGTTGTATCATGTGATTTTAAGGCCCTCGGTGTGCAATTTTTAGGAGATGAAGAATACTCGAATATTCGATCGGACGAAATCAGAGTACTCGAACTCGGGATCTCAATGCCAACTTTCACCCCTAGTACATAATCATTTTAATGTAATGTTGACGTGAGGATAGTAAAGTCGCAGCAGATAACCGTTTGATAGATATGGCAAAGGTAGTCTCAGGGCTCTCCTCGCTGCTCTTTTACTACTATTAGGCCGAGGAGAATGGTCCAACACAGGCGTGGGGTCGCCATTGACTGTGTACCTTGCGACCGTTTGCAGCTTGAGTAAGAGGGTGAGTATGCAACGGTGAGGCCAGGTGAAATCCAGCTGTACACAGCTTGAAAACCTGAGATCCAAGGCAAGAAGTAGATATCTACTGCTTGATGTGTGTACACTGACGCTTGGTGAAATCCAACCGTACACCACTTGTGAAGCTGGAATCCAAGGATCTAGGAGGGGGTTTCACCGGGCACCATTATCATACTTCGTAGTAATAACTACAAGGATACACTGTAGGATCCACTGTACATCTTTTGTACTTGTCTTGGGGTGCAATCTTCATGGCCATGTATGACTACAAGCCGCTCTATGTACCAACCCAAACACAGCTACAATGGCCCAATACTAGTATTCAACTGTCTGAATCATACATGTACATGTGAATTCAAAAAGTGGCAGATTAACCACTCCAATCTATGACCATTAGCTGACCCGTGAGACTTGTATCAATGTATTATTGATGTGGTATGACAGTTGAAGGCTTCACCAGTGGTAAAGCGATGCCCTATCAAGGCAGTGTTCGGAAGAAGTGCTACTTGTAGAATTAGGCATCAAAACACTTGCATAACATTCGATTTGACGTTATGCTACATTGCAATGCCTACATGTGTGTCAGGAGATAAGCAGCATAGCTGGAAAATGGAACAAATCTGAGCATTTGATAGAGGTTGATAATGATCTGACGCTGCCAGCAAAACAGCAGCTTTTCATTTTACTAACGTTACACACGTCCTCGGAATAATTGAGATGAAAAATGCATGAAAGGTGCTTGGTAGGCTCCGGAAATAGACAGCGGATTACGCAATAAATTCGTCATTATTGGATGGTCTTCGAGTCTCAAGTAAGCACTGGATGTGATGGCGATTTTTGACTAAGGATACTAGTAGTGGTTTCAGACAGAAACTTGCTTTCTTCTACTATTGCAATAATAATAATTATTATACAATGCATGTGGTAGACAGACTGTTGCTCAATCAGTCAGTGTTCAATTCAACTCCGTGAGAAGTGTGTAATCGTTTGAAAAGGACACAGAAGTCCCAGCACTTGCATCATCGGTGTACTTTACCACCTCACGGCTTTGCTATGGTCTAGTACTCGTCTGCAGAGGCGTCGCTGTCTGAGTCTAGCCACAGCGTAGCGAACGGCAAGCTATGTTGCGCCGCTGGGTGATTCCGGTGCACGCGCTGCAGATGCTCGTAGGCGCTGATGGTCGAATCGCGCGGCCGAGCCTGGCACCTACACGGCCCGTCAGACTCCCATGAGCCCGTCGAGCCGATGCTAGTGCAGGACGAGCGTCCGCACGTACGATTAGGTCGCCCTGAACCTCCCGGTGCAACCTCCGTGATTTGGCGCAATACACTTCTCCTGGCGTGGCTCGTCGATGACGTCAGACTGGACGTGGACGATGAGGCAGACGATGAAGAGAATCTGGAGCCGGAATTGTAGGCGGGAAGAGCAACCGGGTGATCTGCTACTCCGTCGAGCTGGATTGTGTCCAGAGTGGCCCAGTACAGTTCACTCGGACGCCTGCCGTTGCGGTATTGCGGCGCCATGGACGGACTCTGCGAGATGCGGCGCTGCCGCTCCAGCTCCTGCTCCCTGCGAGGGTTCGTCCGCCGCCGACGCGGCTCGCCGACAGACATGGGAGCGTTGGATATGTTCTGAAAGTGTACTCTTGATGCTTGCGTACCCATGGCAATGGTTTTCTCACCTTAGAGAGTAGACGATAGCAACAACAGCAGCAGAAGTAACAAGCAAGGAAGACTCAGTCTGGAGTAGGGCTGCTGGACATGGAGGACGAACTGGTCATCAACTGGAGTGGCGAGTCGAAGCGCCACAGGAACGCTTTTATGGGGTCCGCGACACCGAGTATTGCCTGCCTCTTGGGTAGGGTTATCAGGTTTCTTTCTGTCACTCTGATGACCTAAACAACAGTGGCTGATCCGCCCTGAAATAAGCACTAGTTCCAGGGAAAGTGATACGGATCGGACAGTATTCCTTGCACGAAGCAGTCGTGATTCGTCTACGGCGAGGTTCTAGTCACAGCCAGTTTGGTCTTCGAATCCGTGCGTTTACTAACAACCGGTTCTCGTCCTCTATCCGTCTCAGTCAACTGCAGGATAGCACAAACAAGAATCCAGTGTGAAGTAACAGTCTCAGTCGCCTTCTGCCTGTGAGTATCTGAACCGGCGCAATGAACTGCTTCCGAACCGGGACACGACGCGTTTATGTAGTCTTCCCAATCGCTAATGAAGCGGCCGGACAATACGACGTCAAGAAATGCATGCTGGATCCGCGAAGCCAGGCTGGTTCGAGCCGCGGTGCGTGCAGCGGAAATCGTCGGAGAGCGGAGTGAGTACACATGAACGGTGAGTTGAGCAAAACACGACACGGAGCACATGTATACCGTCTGTCCAGTCATCTGCCTGTAGGGTATACATGATGTAGTCTTGCTGTTTTCTGTACTCATAACGTGACACGTTAAATTCTCGCGGCATGCATGGGTGCCATCTCAATCTATGCCCCAACATACGAACACTGAGCTGAGTGCAATTGGAATACATGTACACCAAACCTCAAAGGTATCACTATCTCCACTCTTTGGAATGCGTCACGTGTCGGCTTCAATGGAAGAATCGAATGTCAATCGTCAATCACGAATACACAATTTGTATTCACTGTATGCTTCAGCGCTGGGCCCCCCCCCGTCAGACTTTCATTGTCGAACACAGGGCATATTCCCAGCGCAACCCCCGTGGGAGGAACAGCTTAGTTCAGAAGGTCATTGCTTTCCGCGTAGACAGTGCTCTCACTCTGAGGCGGATGACAGGTGAGAGAGAAAACCAGCCTACGAAACAGACAAGTCGTCCGCTTGAGGCCTTTACCCAGACTACGGAAACAAGCTTACTCTAGCCAAAGTGTCACTCATTTACTCAATACAATAGTAGATCGCCGAACCCCACAGCAAGAGCAACACTAGCCTCTGATGGGTGCTGATACAAAGTCATGTGTATTTAACGCTTCGACGAGTCTTTTTCAGATTGA